TTCCCCCTTTTCACACCCCTCCCACCATCTGTATGTTTTGTTCACCCTCACATCTGTTTTGTAATCATATATGTGTGTGTCCTTTATGAATCGTGTGTGCGGAGAGGCATGTCTGAAAGCAGCGCCAAGCTGCGCTCCAGTCGCATTTTGGGAGGGTTCCCAGACTGATGCACAGAACAGGCCGCTGTCCAAAGACCTCAGCCGTGGAGACTTATTGGAACATGCTCTCAAAGCTGCGCAGCTGAAACGTAAAAGTGGCCGCTTATGTGATAAATGATTCTGCATGAATGATCACTTTTTTTTTTTTTTTTTTTTTTGGCAGCGCGTCGCTCAGATTACTCCAATTACGCACAGTATTAGCTGATCCCTTTTCAAAAGAGAGAGCGGGGAAACAAAAGCCAGCTCCAGTGTTCTGGAGTTTAGGGATACTTGGAGCTCAGAACAAAGAGGTGTAAGAAAATCATGCCAAACAAGTTCTGTACCCGCATAGTTTGTACCAGTGGAGCGTGCAAAGCCGCGCCAACACAGAACCAGATCCTGTCAGGGGACTGAGTTTATGTTGAGTAGAAATCTTACCTGGTCAAAATAGATGGTCATGGACGTGTTGCTCATCTCTGACGGCTCGTGATTGGTTCCACGCACAGCGGAAAAAGCCACCTTTGCCCCGGCGGAACGCACCGATATGCCAAGCGAGGAGGTCACCGCTCCATCCGATGAAGGATTCGAGTCGCACACCACGAGACACTTCCCTTCCAGCACGATGGGCTCCGTGTCGTTCTGACCGAGGCACAGAACCACGCCGCATCCCAGGAGGATGGCTAGTGCCAGGATGGCACGGGGTTCCGGGCAGCGCGCTGGCATCATGGTTGGATCACTGATCCCGTGTACAAGGATACAACCCGGCAGCCCCTTGGAGGTTTGTCGATCACCTGGTCCAGACTTGGTCCCCCTTTTTTCGCTCTTCCCCCTCTCTCTTTTCTCTTTTCTGTGATGCTCCCTCACTTTCTCAAACAGGCACGCTCAGACTCTTTCCAGCTGAGACTCTCCTCCCTCCTGTGCGTCTTAGTTGGTTTTTAGAAAGTGTTCAGACATCTGTTTTTGTATGTCCTGGTGATGTGAGAGAAAATGTTGGAATATAAGACAAGGGAATGAGGGGAACTTTGCCTATTTTCGTCACTAAACTTGAGACATTTGTTGTGCGTAAAATGCCCATCGTGCGTAAAATAAACAGCGGCTGTCAGAAACATTTTGAATGGGCATGAAGTGATAACATTTTCATAACCATCTTGCATTCGCTAATCCAACCTTTTGTTATGACTGTGAAACACTTCAAACAAAATTAAAATAACCATTAGTAAGCCGCTGCAATACGCGCACCTTGTTTAGAAAAAAAGTAAAGCAAAGACTTTTACGCATTCTATTTTCTTATGAAAAAGATCTTATAAGATTAGACTCACCTRGGCTCTCCATCCCGCCTGTGTGTTCGCTGTCTCTCCCAGACTGAACTGCGCGCTCAGACTGTTGCCACAGAAAACCACGAGTCTCTGGGCTTCCTTTCCAGGGACAACTCACGCCCATTCTTTGTGTGTAGCCGCAGCAATACCAACACCCCCCTCCGCCCCCACCAACCGCCGACTCCTGAGAAGTACCCTGCAATTAAGGGCACATGCGTGGACTAATAGGTTTGTTTACGCATTAATCTGCTCAATGCTGTGAACTCGGGAGCCTCTGAGGACGCCAAAGGATGATTTTCTTTTAGTGTATGTTATTGATACTGCTGTGATTTTCACATGTTCGACCCTGATTAATCTGAAACGAAGGGGTCTGCAGTGGATAACCCTGCTGGTGCACGGTTCATTCACCATGCATGAATATGGTATTAATTTGAGACTTGAAACGAGCAGTCCTTGTATAGTATAACAAAGATACTTGCGCGCCATCCAGTGGTGACTTTTAACTTTGCAAAAAATGTTTTTATTTCTGAGATTAGCATGGGGGGGGGATGATAGATAATTTTAAAAATCGGTTAGGAACTTTGCTTGCGCATTTAATTATAATTATGCTGAGTGATGTAAAGCAACATAACGTGTTTTAAGATCCACACTGATTAACTACGACCTGATAGGAGAAAGGAAGACACACGTCATAGAGAATGAAGTGCAACACTTAGATGAACCTTTAACCTTTTCCTTTCAAGTCCTGACATGTCACCTTTCTTTGAAGAGCTGTGTTCGGTGTCCCCATCATTGCTCCAAGCTGCTGAATATTATGAGAGCGGGCTTCAGAAGAAGTGGACCTTTACTTTAGACCTTTAATGAGCTGTCATTTTTTTTACTTAAAGTTATGCAAACTGGCCACATTATGCATGCTGTTCACATTTACACAGAATGTACAGACTCTATTCAGCCAGAGCTAAAAGAAAATACTGGGAGGAAAACACTAACTATTCAAAATAATGTGATTTGAGCAAATATGTTGTGTATTATAGCTGTTAAGATCAGTCTCAAAGCATAAATCATACTTCTTTATTATCTGGAAAACCTCTGAAAAGTGTAATCTCTTTCAAATGTTTCATCTTCCACMATGAAAGAAGGACTTTATCCTTGTGGTTAAGGCTTCTTTTCTTTAGTCCCGTTTGACAAACGCAGCACTGTCAGAGCTTTACTGACAAATCATGCGTAAGGGTGACATCAGGTATCCAAGAGCCACAAATGTCCTGGGGCTTTCAGAAGGACACACAGCTACAAAAAAACATCAAATGTCAAATACAGGAAACATGCTAAGAAAAGGGATGTGTCCTACATAACATTATCATACCAGAGGCTGTTGCTGCCTTGAGAGGGACTTCACTTCCATCAGGCAAGCTGATCGGTCAGACTGACAACAGCATTTTGGTGATTTTCCCTGACAGCTAACAGAGCCTTCTGTTTTTTTACGCTCTCTCGACAATCTGAAGTCATTTATGTGCCTTAAAATTAACCATCTGCTTTAGATTTATTTAAAAAAAATTATTTTTTCTACAAATTAAACATTATTTATATCAACACAAGCCTGTTTTTGACTCAGACTTGTTTTAGCTTATTGCAGGATCATTAATTTTTTGTTATTTTTATTATGCACCCTCATTCCTGTTCATAAGTTTAATATTTTGCACGTAAAAAATCCACTTTGCATGCTCAAACAACCATTTTATTACTCACTTTGTACATGTTTGCCAGTCCATCTGTCTCTAGTCCATCTGTTTATGAGCAGCTATAAATGATACGTTATGCCCACTTTTGAAATGAGGTCAGATTCTCAAGTTTTGTACTTTTTATGTGTGAAACCTGAGTGTAAGTACAGACAGCAAGAGTAAGGGAAATTGTGTGATGCTTTGTGTTCTGCATCATGACACCACAACAGCAGGTGTAAAGAAACAAATGTGTTTTTGGGTGAAAACATTGATGAAGAGGTCTATAGTTCACTCAGAGAAAAGTCACTGCAGCCATATAGTGCTTTCAAAACTCAAAGTAACTAAATTGTGTGCTGTGATGATTGGTTTGTGATGAAATTCCAAAATAAACTGCAACACCAGTTTTTAGTCTTTGAGTAAGAATTAATAAATTTTATTGTTAGGGTGCTGATGATGTTGGGTTTTAAATATAGCTACCATGTTCCACAAAGATCAAAGGATTCGGCTTGGTTTTCTTTGCCTTCATTGTTCATTTTCTAATTAAACAACTTTATGTTTGCAGTTTTCTGTCTTGATATTTGACACCTTTCTTTGCTCTTCTGGTGGATTTTCCTCTTCCCCTTTTTGATTAACATTTTCATCTTTGTTTATATTTGTTTAAGAAATGCAAACTGTGGTATATTCATATTGTTTTATTTTTTAAGACCCAACAATTCAAATAAAAAAGCTTTAATTCATTTTGTATCTTTAGATTAATTAGTTGAGCAAACATATTAGAGATATATTCACTTTTATTGTCATTGTACAAGCAGCACAACAAAATTTACAGATAAGCAGCTCTCAAAAGCACAGCAATTAAGTAACCACACTAAATATATACAAAGAAATAAGAGAAGTAAAGTTTAAATG